ACACACACACACACACACTTATTTATTTATTTATTTTATCTACTTTGGAATACAATATATGAGTTGTTCAAAGATTTGTTGATTGTCTAATATTCAGTTTTATACTTGAATGTAATGATAATTTTTATTCGTTGTTTGACCAAGTATTGTTTGTGATCTTTACTCCCTTTTTTCACACTATATTCTTTTTTGATATCTTTAAGGTATTCGACGTGCTAAAATGCACGGACAAAAGACTAGTATTTAGAAAAACATGAACTTTTTTGTTGTTATAATAGTTGATAATATCATTATTGTTGTGGTTATGGACGGACCCAAATGGGATCATTTGGGGGTAAAGTGACCCCAAAAAAAATTTTGGTTTTTTTTTCTCCAATAAATCTCTAGTTGTTTCGAACTCTTTACAGCAATATACAACTTTTCTCACATTTATATATTACGCGAAAAAAAAATTTAAATTGTCATTTATAGTTTATTTTGACGTACTCATTACAGAATGCCAAATGAAGTTGAAACATTGAATTCTTAATACCATTTCAAAGTGTTCACAGCCTAATTTTTTGCTCATTAATAATGTGTGAAACGGCCAACTGAATCGAAAGTCATGATGCGTCAAAGTAGACTGTTCTAAACTAATATTTCTAGAATTTCGATAATATGCTAACTTCAAAAATTCGTCGGCTATCATATGTAGTCAAATCCACAAATCGCCTACATCGTCTAGAAACTCATTTTGAGAACCACATTGTAGTCATATCAAATGGTCCAAACAGATATCAAAAATAGTTAAACATGCATCAAACACACGTTCAAAAAGAGGCATTTAACTTGTATTTTCTTTTTAAAAAATTCAATTATTTCATTAACGTTTATTATTTTTGCACGATAAATTTCTCCATATAATTTACATAATTTTATTAGAAATTTTTTCATGAAATATGGCGTCAAAACTTATAGAATCATTACGAATTAAATGTAATTTGAATTACTTTCGATATATTTGCATTAAATTTGAATTTTATTTCAATTCATTTACTTCCTACATTCATTTTGATTTACTCGCCACCAGTCCAACATCTAACAATGAGATGGTAAGCAAAATTATATTAGTAGCAAAATTCATTTGAAAATATTGATAATAATGTAATTATACAATGTTTTCAAAGTATCGGAACGTGTATTAAATTATTTTCATTAATATTTTATTTTTATTTTTTTTAAATGCGTTTTAATTTTTACTCAACAGCACAAAAGGTTTGGGCCCACCCTTGGCTGTGGTTATGATCAAAGACCTACCTATCACCCTTGTCAAAACCTTTACTATCGTCCACTACTAGCCCTCATCACTACAGCCATACTTGTCACTAAAAGTTTAGGACGTCTTCATTTTTTGTATTTATTTTTCTCAATCCAAATTAACGTCAAAAATAAAGACAAAAAAGCTCATTAAAAATGTTTCGTGAGGAATTAAATTTTGATTTTAATTTAATCTAAAGTTGACAATTAATTTTAATTACATATTTTATGGAATCCACAGCTTTTCAATCATAAATTTCATTAATTTTTATCAAATTTAATAAGACTTTTAACAAAAAAATTATCAAAAAGCACCTTAATCATGTTTCTCATGAAAAATATATTCTAGATCTTAGGTGTTTCCAAATTAAGTCATTGTTTGATAAATAAAAGATGATACATATTTGATAAAAGTTGATAAANCACACACATTTATTTATTTATTTATCTACTTTGGAATAAAATATATGAGGTGTTCAAAGATTTGTTGATTGTCTAATATTCAGTTTTATACTTGAATGTAATGATAATTTTTATTCGTTGTTTGACCAAGTATTGTTTGTAATCTTTACTCCCTTTTCTCACATTGTATTCTTTTTTGATATCTTTAAGGTATTCGACATGCTAACATGCACGGGCAAAAGACTAGTATTTAGAAAAACATGAACTTTTTTGTTTTTATAATAGTTGATAATATCATTACTGTTGTGGTTATGGACGGACCCACATGGGATCATTTGGGGGTAAAGTGACCCCAAAAAAAAATTTTGGTTTTTTTTTTCTCCAATAAATCTATAGCTGTTTTGAACTCTTTACAACAATATACAACTTTTCTCACATTTATATATTACGTGAAAAAAAAATTTAAATTGTCATTTATAGTTTATTTTGACGTACTCATTACAGAATACCAAATGAAGTTGAAACATTGAATTCTTAATAACATTTCAAAGTGTTCATAGTCTAATTTTTTGCTCATTAATAACGTGTATAACGGCCAACTGAATCGAAAGTCATGATGCGTCAAAGTAGACTGTTCTAAACTAATATTTCTAGAATTTCGATAATATGCTAACTTTAAAAATTCGTCGGCTATCATACGTAGTCGAATCCACAAGTCGCCTACATCGTCTAGAAACTCATTTTGAGAATTACATTGTAGTCATATCGAATGGTCCAAACGGATATCACAAATAGTTAAACATGCATCAAATGCACGTTCAAAAATAGGCATTTAACTTGTATTTTATTTTCAAAAAATTCAATTATTTCATTAACGTTTATTATTTTTGCATGATAAATTTTTCAATATAATTTACATAATTTTATTAGAAATTTTTTCATGAAATATGGTGTCAAAACTTATAGAATCATTACGAATTAAATGTAATTTGAATTACTTTCGATATATTTGCATTAAATTTGAATTTTATTTCAATTCATTTACTTCCCACATTCATTTTGATTTACTCGCCACCAGTCCAACATCTATCAATGAGATGGTAAGCAAAATTATATTAGTAACAAAATTCATTTGAAAATATTGATAATAATGTAATTATACAATGTTTTCAAAGTATCGGAACGTGTATTAAATTATTTTCATTAATATTTTATTTTTATTTTTTTTAAAATGCGTTTTAATTTTTACCCAAAAGCACAAAAGGTTTGGGCCCACCCTTGGCTGTAGTTCTTGTCAAAACCTTTACTATCGTCCACTCCTAGCCCTCATCACTACAGCCATACTTGTCACTAAAAGTTTAGGAAGTCTTCATTTTTTGTATTTATTTTTCTCAATCCAAATTAACGCAAAAAAGCTCATTAAAAATGTTTCGTGAGGAATTAAATTTTGATTTTAATTTAATCTAAAGTTGACAATTAATTTTAATTATATATTTTATGGAATCCACAACTTTTCAATCAAAAATTTCATTAATTTTTATCAAAATTTACTAAGACTTTTAACGAAAGCTTTATCAAAAAGCACCTTAATCATGTTTCTTACGAAAAATATATTCTAGATGTTAGGTGTTTCAAAATTAAGTCTTTATTTGATAAAAGTTGATAAAATAT